ACTATCTCCATCAATGCTTACCCAAGAAAAAGGTATTTCTGAGCCTTGTTAAAAATTTAAATTATCTATCATTTATCAAACCCACCTCTCTGTGCCTCAGTTTTTTTCATTTATAAAATGACAATTTATTGTGTCATTAATGTGTGGTTTCCTCTGCATATTTTAAATTAGTATTTTTCCCTAGCCTCATAGATTCTCGTGTGGCAGGAAGTAGAAGCTGCCTGAAGACAGGGGATGTGGGGCTTCCACAAATAAGGAAAAGAATGGACTAGTTAGAGTCATTGACAGAGCACGTCTGTTTTGATAGGGGCATGAGGCAATGAGAGAAAAAAGAGAGATAGAAGAAGGAAATGTGCCAATATCCATACTAAGATAGAGAAAGAAATTCTGTTCAGGGAGAACACCACAAACATGTCCCTTTGTGTTGTTAGCTTTTTTAGGAGCTCTTGTTTCTCACAAATTTGTTTCATTTGGGCCAACCCTACTGGGCACCGAGGTGCAGAACCAAGAAGTACAATATCTACATGAGGTTCTGGGTCCTTCTTCCATTCCTGAGTTGCCTGATGTCTAGATTTAGAAAACCGTTCCTCTCTTGCTTTTCAAACCACTCTACCGGCTTAAAAAAATTGTGTATCATTTTTCTACTCCTATTATAAAGAGGATAAGTTATTTTTTTCAGGGGGCATTTTCAATTATGCAAGTAGGTGAGAGAACAACTCACTGAAATATTGATGTAAGGTTTTGTTTACGCAGCAAGTGTTTCTGTTGTGTCCGCAAGAAGGTCACTAGAGTCTTGCAGACATTCCTGAATATTTTGTTCTGTGTCAGATGACAATTTTGGCATATTGCTGCTGGGGTGGTGCATGTGTGTGTGTGTTGGACAGTGATAAAAGCGAGATCGCTACACTGCCCACCTCAGCAGCAGGATAAGGACTTAAGTTTATTTAAGGTAAATAAATACTATGAATATTTCCTGCACTATAAATTTTACAGAGCAAGATTCATCCTAACTAGAAGTATATTATGATCCTTGAATGTGCTTTTTCAAGTTACTACCTCTTCCTCCGCTCAGATACTAAATATATTTTGATGAGTAGAAATGTCCTCGTGCTTCCCTTTAAAAATAGATTCCTAAAAAATCATATTAGGTTCTGTTTTATTTAAAGAAAGTTTCTGGGTTGCCCCTTCAATCTCATTTAAAATAGTGCACAGTAAGTAGGTTTAGGGCAATTCTGAGAGGTCCTGGGATATGTGTTAGACACAGCAGTCACCTCTAGTAGGTTAAAGCTCTTCTGTCCATGTAATCATGTTGGTCAGAGTAGTATGTTTTTCATTGTGGTTGCTTCTAAGAAAGGCAAAGGGAGGTTACCCTCAAGTTCTTTCACTCAAATCATTTCTCACCCTGGTGGTGAGAGTCAGAGCAACCCCACAACACCTAAGACAGAGTGTATACCAGAACTATGGTGCTTCTCTAAGTACCAGGCTCTCTCCCTCCCCTGTCCTTTGTTCTCCACGGTCTTTGCATCCATGCCACTTGAGTGGGAGCCCTCCAATAGCTCTCAGGCAGGCTGAACACACAGGATTTGAAAGACCAGCAAGATCCCTGTAACCAGCAAACTCTAACCTCTTCTCCTGAATGAACTCCTTCTTAATGTTTTCAGAGAAGAGAGGGAGAGGAGATCATAGATTCCCTGAGATTACCAAAGGGAGTAGACTTATCATGAGAAACTGTGAGCCAGACACTAAGGAAAAATCCAGAGCAGCTCTTTTGGGCTGATGGCAGAGGAAAAGCATCCATCCTATTCCAGAGCTGAGCCCAGCAGGAAACCCTCTGTCTCTGGTCACAATGGAGATTTCAGATATGGTGTGGATGGTTCCTCATCAGAGATGATGTGGGAGATTTCTGAGTCAGAAAGGACAATAGGAAAGGTCATTCCTGGAGAATCTTCTACCTGAGGCCAAAATACACACACACACACACACACACACACACACTTTTGTTTCAAAAGATAAAAATTTAATTTTCATAGCCAGCATATCAAATTGACAAGTTGACTGTTAGTGCTTTAAATACATTCTTTTTTTGTTTGTTTGTTTAAAAGTGAGTCAAGTTCAAGTAAATAATTAAATAAATAATAACAGAGGTGATACAAATCATTTAAATGATGGAGGAGAAGGACTGCATGTCCTAGACCTACAAAATCATCTGTTCTACTTACTTAAAGGGATAAAGTCATGGAGTTCATGAGACCAGAAATTGACCAAGGAGTAGAAAATGAGTGTTGCTTAAGCAGGATGCTCATTGGTTGATTCTGTCAGGAAGAGATCAAAGAATATGGCATTTGATCCAAAGATAACTATGGAAAATGAAAAGGACAGAAGGAAGTGATCATAGAACTACAAAAAAAGACTGGACAAATTATTGGTAGATACTGGAGTAAAAGAATAGAGGACTGGTCAATAGGAAGAGATAGGGTGGGGGTAGAGAGAGAGGATATATGATATAAATGTTAACTGTGTTCCTTTGGTTTTGGGGTTTTTTTTTTTTAATGCCCTAAGCTTTCTAATAGTAGAAGCTGCCATGAGGGCTGCCTAGCAAATATGTCTTGAGATTCCAGCACATTTTTACACCATCCTTAAATGCCATGTAACAAGTTCCAGGTTGACACCATGGCTAAACAGTTATTTCTGAATTCATGTCACTCTGCCACCCATATATTTTAAAACAAAGAGGTGTTTTCACTGAGTTTGAGCTTAGGAATGAGAAGTGTCAGAAGCTTTGGGAACATCTATGCTAGAGAGTAGGAATTCTTCAAATAAAAACCTCCAGGTCTTTATGGCTGAGACTCAACTTTCAGTGCCAGCCAATTGAGGATCAGCATTCAGTGTGCTGTCCTCAGTCACCATGACTGGGGCAACAGTCCTTCAAGAAATTAAGCATCTAGACCAGGCGTGTGGCTCATACCTGCAATCTCAGCTTTAAGGGGCTGAAGTGAGAGGATTACTTGAGTCCAGGAGTTTGAGACCAGCCTGGGCAGCATAGTGAGACTTCATCTCTACAAAAAATTAAAAAATTAGTCGGGTATGGTAGTGTATATCTATAGTCCCAGCTATTCAGGAGGCTGAAGTAGGAGGATCACCTGAGCCCAGGAGGTTGAAGTTGTGATGAGCTACGTTTGCAACACTGCACTCCAGCCTGGGTGACAAACAAGACCCTGTCTCCAAAAAAAAAAAAAAAAAACTAAAAAGAAAAAAAATAGGCCTCTACTATGTGACAGATAAGATGCATTTCATCTGAATTAACCTCATCTCTCCTCACCACAGCCCTCCAAAAGAGGAATCTGATTACCTCCAGGCGTTTGTTTGGTTGTTTTTTTTTTTTTTCTTCAGGAGAGGAAACTTTTTTTGTTTGTTTTCAGAAAAGAGATGAAATAATTTATCTAGAAATCATAACTGACACTGGGGATTAAGCCCACATGATCTGGCTACATAGTTAAACATTTAAACCCTGAGCCCGCAGACAGACGTCATTGCCCTCATGGAGCAAAATTTGAGAAATACAATGAAAGAAAAGAAAGGAGGAGAATGAGAAGTGAGAGAATAATGAAGAACATAATGGAATGGGCAGGCCACTTGGGAATAATGTCTATACTTGAAGCATTCAAATAGGCAATGAACTAGGAGAGACAGAGAGACAGAGATGGGTGGTAGGGGAGAGGGAGGGAGGAGGGGAGGGCAAACACTTGGGCAGGCATAGCTCCACCATCTTAGATTTAACCTTAAAGAAAAAAAATAAGTAAAATTAAATTGGAAAGGAAAGCCACACTATGTAAGAAATACACACACACACACACACACACACACACACACACACACACACACCTTTATAGGTCTCTAAATCTCTTGAAAATATTCAACCACTTCAAAATCTGTCCTGGAACTGGAAAATTTTACTTCAAACTCAAACCACTCACATTTAAAGATTAGCCTCACCCATGAGTAACTCTCACTTCCAAAACTGCTTCCTACTCTATACAATGTTCCTTGTCAGCGTTTGATTTAAATGAAGTGATGGCATTTATTTTAATTTTAATTTTTTTGAGTTGGAGTCTCACTCTGTCACTCAGGCTGGAGTGCAGTGCCACATTCACAGCCACTGCAGCCTCGACCTGCTGGGCTTGGGCGATCCTTCCGCCTTAGCCTTCCAAGTAGCTGGAACTACAGAGGCATGCCACCACACCTGCTAATTTTTGTAATTTATTGTAGAGACAAGGTCTCACTAACTTGTCCAAGCTGGTCTCGAATACCTGAGCTCAGGCAATCCTCTCGCCTCGGCCTCTCAGAGTGCTGGGATTATAGGCTGAGCCACCGTGCCCAGCCAGTGATGGCATTTTAATGATATGATATTAACAGTAGTTTACACACACACACACACACACACACACAGTTTTCTAGTCATATGTATTGTAAGAAGCTTCAGTGTAATTCACGAATTTATGAAGTATAGTTTTTCTCTCTGTTGTTAGTTGAAGTGAATTAATTGAACAAGCAGATGTTGATGCATTATGGGTGTTGCCATGCCTCTCATAAGTGCACCCAAGTTAAATCCTCAGGCATTTCAGAGAATTCCAGTCATGAGATAAAGAGACAAATCTGAAATAGTTAACTTGAACCGCTGGAATAGGCTTTGAAAAGTAAGAAGCCATGAAATTACCCTTTTTTCTCTTCTTTAATAATAAACACAGGTTATAACATCTATAAAATTAGTGTGGTTTGATCCCCATCTCTTTCTTTGACACTCTCAGTGACCGAGATTTACAACTAAAAGTGTTTGTCAATTCTCGTTCCCCTTTTGATTTGGTGGGTCACTCTCAAGTCTTGGCAAAGTAAGAGAAGCAAACTTGTAAATGAATTGCTCTGGAATTTCTGTCTGACTTGTGCATTTTCTTTTATTTATTTCATTTTTGCATTGAAAACATTACATTTCTGTTTCCTTATAGAGTAGTGTATCAAGAGCCTGTGTATGGCAATAAATTGCTGCAGGTATGAAATCCCGACTGGTGGAAAAACTCATCACTATGATTGTGGGTTTGCTGTGAAATCCTTACTAACAAGATAATTCCGGGGAGGGGAAATGTTCTCTAACACAGAAGGAGGAAAGACTTAACTGAATTTTCCAGTTTTAATGTGAAATCTTCTAGAATATAGGAACTCACCCCCATATTTTCTGATATGTCCACTGATTGGGTTGGGGCAGTTCTTTCCAAATATTGGGGCTGTTTCCGTGACTGACTTTGGTTGGCCGAAACCATGAGCTTTGTTAGATCCTAAGTGTATCAAAATGGAGTTCTAGCTTACCAACTGATTTCTTGGCTCAAAACGTATCTGGACTCAACCAATATAAATTCAGTGAAAAGAATGAAAGGTTCTCATTAAACCAATTGTTTGGGTAATTTTCTAGTAGTTTCCTGGAGTCAACTGAAATGGTTAAATTAAAAATCTCTTATACATCCAGCCCTGAGGGTCAGCATAGCTAACATCTAATATAATAATCCCTGGTTTTATTGTAGCTGATCAGAGATTCATTTTTTACCTATTGCTATAGCTTTCATACCTATTTCTTGTTGCTGAAGCAACTCCCACATGAACAAATTTGTAGGAAGAGAAAAAATAAGTCAACAAATCCATCTGCATATAGTTGACTGGGCATTTCCAAATTTGGTCTATAACCAATATTAAAACTATCAAATAAAATAAAAGATGAATGAAACTGAAGATGATCAATAAAAATTTTATTCTATAAGTTTCCCTGCTACCTGCAATTTTCACTTTTATTAAGAAAGAGTAGTTTGTTTGTTTTTTTACCACGAGAATTAATTGAGTTTTAATGTAAAAAACTGAATGTGAAAAAGTAATACTTCGATGGAGGAGAAAGCAAAATAGTTAAAATTCCTGAGATCCATGTTTACTGTCACATTTCAAGAAAACTGGACTTCTGTTGCCACCCTTCAAAAATACCTGAATGTATAATGCAGACAAATTAGGAAATCATGATTTATATTCAAGTTTTTCATTTTGCAAATATTCTTACAAATGCTGGTATAGTAAATAAAATTTGTGTTGTATGTATGCCAATATATTTGTTTTGTACAAAGTGAGACTGCTCCCTTGAATATTCTCAGAAAAAAAAGAAACCTCTATCTGTGTGTAAGCCCATTGCCACTCTCCCATGCACTCAAGCTGAGGAAAAGCACACAGAACCACATACATATTCTATGCCCGTGTCCCTCCCAGCAAAAAGAAAAAATTTCACCTGCCCCTCAACTAATTTGCTATTTGGCTATTAAAATGCCTTTTTCCAAAAGTATGCTCTAGAGTGAGAACTAGAATGAGAACTTTGTTTTCTCAAACTATTTTGAGATGCCTTGGAGATTTGCAGTGTTGATCAATATTGTTCTAAGAAGTTCCACAAATGGAGTGACTCATTTCATTTTGTGCAACCCAGCATCTCCCAAACCTATTTGGTGATGGAAGCTTTCCTTTCCTTGCCACTATTTATAGTCTACCAGCACAATTTTGAAAATGCTTTATTGGAGCATCATTTGAAGTCCTTAATGGGTAGCTATCCCAAGGGATGTTGAGAGGTTTGCTAACAAAAAAAAAACTTCTCAATCTGTGTGAGTGAGTATCTTTGGTGACCTCATTTGGTGATGGTGGTGGTAAATGGCATAATATCCATTTAAAATTTATTTTTGTGTAAGGTCACATTTATATTTTGCCGCCCAACATGTGGAAAATAAATATGTTTATGAATGGGAAGAGTAGAACTATGCTGTGCTTGCCATCCCTTTTTCTTTTGATTTGGTGATGGCAAAAACCTAATTGTCAATGATGCATTTTTGCCGTAAGGTTTGGGCAGACCAGGATCAACATGGACACGGTCTGTGACAGTGAAGAGAAGTGAGTCCTCCTTTTTCAGATATTGTCTCAGTCAGAACCTCACAGAAGTTCTGGCTATGCTCAGTGAGCTGCAAAATATGGACCAATAAATTTGACCAGAGTCACCTGTTAGAAAGGCAAATTAAAACAATTTATATTTTTTTGTGTGTAAAGTAATTTGAATTTTACTGTGCATACACACATACACCGAGTCAATACACAACTCTGTTATTTCCCTAATATGGATTTCATACAGAAGAAAAATAGCAAAGGGAAACAATGCAATAGAGGTGGATGTAAGAAGTCACCTAATCTTTCTTTCCCTAATTATTACATGTCACAGATCACTTAGACTTGTTCTGTTCAACACTGTAGCTACCAGCCCCATGTGGCTATTTACATTTAAATTCAAATGAACTAAAAATAAGTAAATTAAAAATTCAGTTCTTTGCACTAACCACATTTCTCATTAGTCACTTATGACAAATGACTGTTTTGGATGGCACAGATACAGAACATTTCTGTCACCTCCAAGGTCTACTGGACAGTAATGAGACCACTGGTCAAGGTCCAAATCTCCCCACTGACTCTAGAGATTTTAGGAAATTGTAATATTGAGTCTTAGATCGGGAATACTTGTAAACAAGTTTCTAAGTAATGACAACAGATGTTAGGGCATTGGCTACTTGTGCCTGTCTTGTATAGAAACACACACTTATTTTCTCTAAATGGTCAGGTCATACAGATATATAGAGTGGAAGTCATTCCCAAACCTTCATCGATGACCACATCTGTTGTACAGAGGGATCCCAGGTATACACACCTGTGTTTTATGTCCCTACCATAAATATCAACTTAGTAATCAATGAGGTTCATTTTAGTCATTTTCTGCTTGCACTCTGGCAGTTCTTCCCATTTGTCAAATTTGCTGTCTGCTTTCATTGACTGAAACTACTGCAGAAATTTGGGGAGACATGCACAGTTCAAACAAAGAGGACTTACACATAGGATGTTGCTAGAAGTCTGTGCTGGAACCAAGTTCATGGTCACCAGATCATGATTTACATGGCACCTGATGCAAATACCTTTTTTTATCATTCTGTGAGAGAAAACAAAACAAAACACATTTGCACATATGTACTTTTCTTCACCCAAAGCTTTCAGCCAGTTACAGCTAATATCTCTTAGCAATCAGCTAGACAATTCTAGCCCACTCTACCGCTTTAAGTTCAACTTGCATACCTGCACACCTGTATCTTTCTGTATGCATCTTAAAAGCCAAGAAGATGGACAAGCAGAATAAAAGGATGGCTCCAAAAATGTGGTGACCTCATTTCTCCTCAGCCCGTCATTCTGTTTCTTGAACTCAGTGCTGGTATGACAACTCCTTTAGTTTTCTAACTTCTCGGCATATTTAATACATTTCTCCATTACTAATTGGAGAACATGGTGTTTGGAATACCAGCTGGTATCTGGCTAAGATCACCTTTTTTTTTAACTTCTACATTTTTTTTTTTTTGAGTCAGTGTCTCACTCTGTCGCCCAGGTTAGAGTGTGGTGGCATGCTCACGTTCACTGCAGCCTTGACCTGCTGGACTCAGGCAGTCCTTCCACCTCAGACTTCCAAGTAGCTGGAAATACAGGCGCCTGCCACCACACCTGGCTAATTTTTTTGATTTATTGTAGAGCTGAGGTCTCACCAAGTTGCCCAGGGTGGCCTCGAACCTGTGGGCTCAGGTAATCCTCTCACTTAGGCCTCCCAAAATGCTGAGATTATAGGCGTGAGCCACCACACCTGATCTCTACATAATTTTTTAAGGCAGGCTTTATTCTTTGTTTTTTAACTGGCTTCACGTTATTGGCGATTGTCAGGATATTTTGGATGTGCCTTCTCTAAACTTGATCCAAAGAACAAGCTTTTTAAAGGATAAACTAGCTTTTTTGAATGGCGGTGTGACAACAGATTTACTCTGGAAGTTAACTGTGCCTGGAAGGAAACAAATAAATTCTTGAGACAAGTTTCCCTACGTTTTAAAAGACATTTTTTTTGCAGCTTCCCTATTTCATCTATTTCCTCACTTACTAATTGGTTTTCCTCGTCATGAGGCCAAATGCAATGAACCTGCCTGCCCTGCTCATGATTTTGCTGTTAGATACCCTCTGACATAGGATTTTGTGCTGAGTTGCCCCTTCATAGTGATGGTGAGAAACCTTCCCTCAGAGGATCATGGGAATGTGTATGCTAATTAGAACTTGAATGGTTCCTGTGTTATCAGCGAAAACGGGATCCTGTTTGTTAATTGTGCTGAGGTCATTCCACAGTGGTTGATATATCACTGTGGTCCGTTGAGCAAGGAGCTCTGTTATTTTCACAGTTTGATAATCAATGCTCCACTGAACACAATTCCTTTTGAATATGCCCATTTGTTCGTCCTCTTTGCTTAATTGAACAATTGCAATTACCAGCACATACAACTAAATGTTAATTATTTTTCTTTTCAGATTCTTTTCCTCAATGATTTTATTTACGAATTAGAAGACTTTATCATGTTTTCCACACCAAACAAATTCCCCATCTGAACCGATGTGATATATAGCAGTCTGAGATCCTTAACCAAAAAGAAAAAATGTTTAAGTAGTGCTCACCATTTATTTTTGTAATAATTATGTAACATCCAGAAAACTCAAAATCGTCTTCTTCAATAACATTAGTGATTAATATGTAAGAGCATGCTAATAAACTTTCAAGCAAAGGGTTTTCTGATGTTTTAATAAAGATAAAAATACGATAGGAGAGCATTCACTTGCTTTTTTTAGTTTATAAGAAAATAAACAAGGATCATTTGATTAAAATTAAAGTTAATTAATAAATAAAAGTAAAGCAGAATCAATTTTGAAAATCTGGAAAGTTCAGCAAAGTATAAAGAGTATTTAAATGACCCCCCCCCCCATAATCCTCCCCACTCCAAAACAATCACCATTAACATTTAGGTACATTTCCTTCAAAGGCTATCTGGGTTCCCCCTTTGGGATATGCTTATGACCGCTAACCTTTAACATCCAGCGGGGGTTGGTGTTCCACCACTTATTTCTCCAGTGTGTTTTGTACTTTCGCTTTGGTACTAAGCTTTCATTAACCTTGACTTTAGATCAGTAGATTTGGGTAACTGCTGTTTGGTGTGGTCTTGCCACTGGGCATCCCTAGGTCAGGCTCCTCTGCTTTCCTAAGTCACATTTCTCCTTGTGTTTTAGGGTGGTTATGCTGCATACCGCTACGCCCAGCCTACGCCTGCCACTGCTGCTGCCTACAGTGACAGGTAAGAGTCTTCCTTCTCATTCTTGACAACTACTTGGAAATTAACTTAGTTGGTGGGAGAGGAGATTCTCGTCTGGTCTTGGTGAAACTGCATGACTGCTGGGGAGGCAGCACTCAAAGTTAGGCCCCGTGGTGAAAGTGAATACAAAGACTCATAGGCAGAGGGCAAACACTTAAGCCCAGTTCACTCTAAACTACTCACCTTCTCTGCTAAGACACAAAGAAAAAATGTTTTGTCCCTGTGTAATTGTTTTTCAGATCTTTAAATTCCTGTGACAATACACTTTACACACACACACACACACACACACAAACACAACCACAACCACATACACCCTTCCTGTACAATCTTCTCATGGTCTTCTATGTAAGACTATGGGATCATCTAACTCATAGGAAGAAAACCAGAAGATGATCCTGCAGGTTTCGCTCAATTTCAAGCACCCCACTTCCTTTTGACAACTCTTTATACCCACTAAAGCACTCCCTTTATTGTATTTTTAAAATTCCAAATAAGGAATGGGGAAGTATATCTGGCATTCAGAAAGAGATTCATTCCCTTTGGCAATGTCCAGCATCCAATTCTACAAAAATGAGTCTACTTTCCTCTGTAATGCACACCACATGTTAAGGCTGGCAGTGGAAGGGACAGAAGTGTGTTTGAGAAATGCAGAAATCAGACTGGATGGGCGGGGTGGGGGGATGGGGGTACTCTGTTACCCAGGCTTAACAGATGAGTTGGTTCCTGAAACAGCAAGCCATAGCTATTTTTTGTACAGTTGCCTTGAAAAAAGAAAGTGTGCGTTTCCATATTGAATGCAACTCCTTGGCTCTGTTTTTGGAGGACATAAATGTGAATGTTTAGATGCTCTGCATGCTCAAATGTCATTGAGGGTGCTTATTTTGGTAATGACTCTTTTAATTTAAAAATATGTTTCACGAATAAAACAATAATGATAACAATTTGCATGTGTGGCTGAGGCATGCTGGGTCAGACAGGTAAGCAGGCGATGTGTTTGACTCTTGAATGAGAAGTGTCAGCAGCCACTGGTTCTCCTTCCTGGCCTGTGTTATTTAGTTCCTACCTCGGTTTGCTGTGGTGTGCTTTCTCTGCAGTTCCATTCCATTTTTCACAAGATGTGTTGTTAGCTTATTGTAGCTACAGAATTCTTCTGCGATATAATAAAGCAAAATCAATACCCAAACCCTAAAAGCTACCCTTGGAAGACCCCATGCATAAACTTGTAACAAGTGGCTCTTTGGCAAGATAGAGTTGAGATCCGCTGTCTGGTTAAATGCAGGTATTATTATTATTCTCTTATAGACAGCCATAACAAGTTCTCAAGGCTGTAGGGGGCCTTCAAAGAAATCCAAACAATTGTCATGACATAGTTCTAAATACATAAATTATCCAGTTACCCAGTAATCAGCTGCCAAAATGCAAAATATGTTTCATGTAAGTTGTTATCTTCAATACTCTTTGACATTGGATTAGGAAAATAGAGAGGGTCAACAAGGCTAATAAAAATGATGACAATCTTGAAATACTGGAGATCATGCAACAAATGAAAAAGCTTAATGCTATTAAATTCTGCACACTGAAGATTCACACAGTATCAATTGTAATGTAGTTCAGCTACAACCCTTAATTATTTTTATGAAAATATCTCTAGATGCTAAATTCTCAAACACCCACTTTGGATATAATTATAATCATAGTAACTTTAGCCTGCTGTATAATTATAAGAATCTTAAATGGATTTATTTCTTTGGATATTTATCTTGCTTTTCAGTATAAGTGCATCTTTCCCTGAGTTGAGAAAAGGTTAATTACAAAGATATAATTTCAATTGCCTTCTTCAATAAGACTGATCTAGACATTTGAAAAAAAATAAACAATGGTTATTACTATTCTTAGACAGAATTCCTTGAGAATCTGGCCATCTACACATGCATTCTTCTAAAAATTAAGTTTAAATTTTCTGCATTTTGGAACACCCTATGTGCAAATAGATGTATAACATCTGTTCTTTTAAAATTATTAAGATTTGTCATTGGTAACAGGTCATACTGAAAGACTGCCCTCATTCTTGGATTGGTAAATCTTTAATAACTCTGTATTTCCCATTTTGGTGTAATAGTTTCAGTTGGAGAAACCAACTAACTCTACTTTTGTCCATGTAATTGGCCTTTTGTTGTTCATTAGAGAAATTTGCACATTAGGTCTTCTTGGTTGCTGTGGAAATTGATTACTATTCCTATTTAACTTTATTATGAGCAAGGCACTTGCCACATATAGAGTTATTCATTGAGGTAAACCCAGTAATAGATAAATTGCCAGAAAAAAATCTTTAAAGTAATATTTCTGGTTTTATTGTTAAGGTATTGCTATTAAATGAGATACATCCTTATATTCTTAGTAAGCAGATATAGAGAAGGAAGACCCCTATTTGGGAGAAAATGTAAATTATCAGAACAGTTTTTGAATCTAGATTAAAGATGCCAAGTACCCAGAATTTATTTCAGAGATAGCAATAGCAAAATAAATAATTTTTATACCATCACAGCATGATATCTACAGTGCTAGACTCTTAGTTCCCCTTCTCTGGATGACAGACAGGGATGACAAAGAGAAAAACTTCTTAACAAAAAGAAATGTGTTCAAAATAGAAAGTAAAATCAGTAGGACTTGAGAATGTTTTGATGATGCTCACTAGTTGTCAATCTGATCAAAAGAGAAACTGCAACAAACTCTCCCTGTAATCATGAGATTCACTCTTCAGACGTCTTGAAAGTAAAAGAAGTTTGATGTCCCAGTTGGCAGAATTTTACTTTTTATCAGCACAAATTAAGCCCTCATCAAATTAAAGATTCAGGGACCTTTGAAAAAGATTGAACTCCAGTAACCTCAGGACTGTCCAGAAGGTCCTTAATGGGCACCTTGCAGCTCCCTGCCCATCATCTTTGTGGTTAAATGATCAAATGCTGATTATCTTGGAGCAGCCTGAGAGTCTCTGAATGTTGACCTCCAGAATGAAGACCATCTGGTGTGGGCAGAAATTTTCCCAAAAGAAAAAGACCTGACCGGACTAGGTAATTTTATAGTCTCATTGACTAATTTAATGGGGATAGATAAACGTCTTTTCTTGGCATTTAGGAAACATTTGGTAAGCAATTGGTCTCACCAAATCTCTGTTTTTAATCTCACTTTGATTTATGGAAAACCACCTGTCCAAACTCTGAAAGTAGATTGTTTTCTGAGCTTGAACCAATCAAAGCATGGCAGTGGGCCTTCGGTCATCTGGTCATTGCATGCCACTTGGTGTTGCTGATGTGTCTGTGGTACGTTCTGGATGGACAGGTCCATCACATCAGCTTGAGGAATGGCTTGCTTGAATTAAGCCTGGGGGCAGGCGTCTCTTCATGTATTGGCTCTTGGTTTCTTTGTGTATTATGACTTGGTCGTTGTTGCATCTTTAAGCAGCCAAACTGGCAGGTGGGGAGGGGTACGATTCCCTGTTCAACAAATTGTGTCAATGTATATTGGGAAAATATGTATGATGTGTACATAGCTTTGATGAAAATGTTATCTCACCGGAAAGACAGACATTTGTCATGCTTGTCCTGCTTGCTAACACTCTAACATCTCCTAATGATCAGTGCATGAAAATGCCCCTCCACATTAGGGCAGAAAGTAGCTAGATATAGACCAGCTACAGAAGAGGGCAATGCCAGAGTGCTTCACTCTGAAATTTCATTACAATCAGATTGTATTGATAGCTACCAGGGACCATGTCTTCTTTCATATAGTACATACATTTCCTTTAAATATCCCCAAGCATGAAGAAGCTTTTGACATATAGTTGTAATACCAGGCCACACAGATGTATCTAGACAGAGCAAAAGGGACTCCAAGTCACAGAATTATTTCTTGTTTTAATTTATATCTTTTTTTTGAAACCTTAAAGTTTTATTGCCAACATAATATTAGACTATACCATGTGAAATTGCTATTTTTGTGTGACAAAAGTGGTGAAATATTGGCAATTCCATATAGTTCAACTTAATAGAGCCCCAAATAAAATGCCATGATATTGTCTTATTCTCTGCGCAGATGCATGCGTACACACACACACACACACACACACACACACACACACACACACACACACTGTATCTTAGGGCCTCACAAAGGACTCAAGAGTATTTAGGCAAATCTTAATACAAAAAGTTTGAGCCAGGCTCGGTGGCTCAGCCTGTAATCCCGCACCTTGGGAGGCTGAGGTGAGTGGATTGCCTAAGACCACGGGTTCAAGACCTGCCTGGGCAACTTGGCGAGACCTCATCTCTGCAATAAATCAAAAAATCAGCCGAGCGTGGTAGCACATGCCTGTAATTCCGGCTACTCGGAAGGCTGAGGCGGAAGGATCGCCGGAGCCCAGCAGGTTGAAGCTGCAGTGGCTGGGAACGGCCACTGCACTCCAGTCTGGGCGACAG